GATGGAGGAACGCGGGGCGCCGTCTCTTCACAACGAGGACCCACACCACAGGATGGTTGATGATGGTTGCGAAAGACTGCGCCAGATGGACCCTGGGAGGGGTCTGGGGACAGATTCTGAACGGATTTGGCCTCACCCTTGCTGTTCCCGACCGATGCTCTAGGGCCCCAACCAGTTCAGGCCTCCCGGCCGCCTCCCAGGCAGGAGAGTGAGAGGCCTACGCCGGGGCCAGAGAGTCACCACCCACTAAACCACCCCAACCCAACCCGAAGGCTCAGATTTACCCTCGATTTCCAGTGGGGGGGGGGGTCGGGAAACATCGAAAAAACACATGTGCAACCCTTACCCCCCCCCAACCCGAAATGCGGGTCTTCGGGTTGGGTTGAGGTGGTCTGGTAGGTCGTCGGAGAGCGGCCCCCGAGGGCCCCAATCCAGGAAAAGACCTCCTCGTCGCAGATCCGGGGCGAACGGCCACGGTGCCCAGGGCCCTTCCTCTTCGGGGCCCTTTGCGGCCCCCGCCGCCGCCCGCCGCCTTCGCCCCTGGACCCGCGCGGCGAGGCCGCGCCGCGCGGGGGCCGCCTCGGCGTCTCCGCCGGCGCCCTCCTCCACCTCCTTGCGGGCCGGGCGAAGGGAGGGGACTGGGGCAAGGGGAAAATAGGGGAAAATGCGGGAATTGGGGGGAATCACAAGAAGCCAGAAAACATGGGAGAATGTGGGGAATCCTTGCATTTGTGCGTATTGATTTGTGTGTCCCAGGGTCCCTTCACTTAGGGCGCCCCGCGCTGGGAAGGCGTGAGGCACGCTGGGGTCTCGCCTCCCTGGAGTGGCCGCTGGGTTCCGCTCCTGTCGGGCCGGGCGAAAGGGGGGGATTGGGAAGGGGGGGGTTACGAAATCTGCTGCTGCATGCAGCTGGTTTCGGCCTCACCGAGGGGCCCCTTCCTCGATACATGGGCGCCTCCCGGCGCCGGGAGGCGCCGGGAAAGTCAGCTCCGTGAGCTGATTCTCGAACCCCCCCTTTGCTATCCCCCCCTTTCGCCCGACCCGATCCTGGCAGGAGGCCGCGAGATTAATCAAGCAGTGGCGAAGCGTCCCGGCTCGCCTACAGTCGCAGGAGGTTGACACCAACAACACCAATATTGGGGGTGTGCCTCCACCGAGGGAAGAAGATCCCAATCCCGGTGATGGTGGTAATATTCTGGCTTCCAAGGTGGCCGACATATTACCACCAACACTGAAATCTAGGATCATCTTCCCCCTGTGGAGGCACCCCCCTGTGTTGGTGTTGGTGCCCATTTCCAGGCCTCGAATACAGGCCTACCAACGAATGTTCAAAAAACCTTTTGCGGTTTCCACGAAATCTTCTTAGAGCATGTTTGGCTGGGGCTGTCTTGTTTTACCACTCTGGGCTTATGTTCTAAGAACGTGTTTTTGTTATTCGAATATGTTGGGTTTCCAAGAACATTTCGTGGTAGGACTGTAGGAATGCCGGGACGGTCGGTCCCTGCTCAAATTAAGGCAGCCCCTCGACGTGAGGACTGGCTTTAGGTCGGGCCCATCCCCCTACAGGGGGATCTTGGACGATCTGTTTTTTACCTGCCCCCAAAAATACGCCAAAGGTATGCAACAATGGTATAAAAATCGTCCCCAGACTATTTTTAAACCATTTTTGAATATTCCCCTGTAGAGGGACAGGCCCGACTCGACACTGGCACGCGAGCTCTCTCACGAAAACCAGGGTCGGCCCGAGGCTGGGCGACGAAGAGTCGTCCGGGCTCCAGCAGCACTCCGCAGCTGGCAGACCCTGCCCCAGGCAAACACATCAGCGCTGTGCGTGAGCCCCGCACGTCGTGCCAACGTTCACGGTGAGTGCTTTACCGTTTGTGCGCGCTCGGGCGTGTCGGGGGCGGCAAAGAGGGGGGTGATGACCAGGGGGGGTGGATATCATGGCGGGGGCCATGCTACTTCCCCAGATTTCATGGCACCTCTTCTTATTTCGTTACGTCCCTGGCCCCCCCGCTGGGCCGCGCACATGCCGCCGGTCATGATTTGCACCCCCCCCTCTTGGACACCCCCCTCTTGGCCGCTCCCGAGTGTGGACCAGGGCCTGACTTCTTTACCGAATCCACCAATCGTGCCAGGTATCACTGGGCCCTGGGCATCCTACCATCGGTCTAGTCTCGGGATCGATCCAGAGTCCAGAGGGCGAGGCACTTTTGACCACGAGCTCGGCGTCCTTCAGGGTTGCTCCAGGTGTCGCCAACCCCCAGACCTCATAATCCCTACGGCGAGGTCCAGGGGGGGCTGCTTACATGTCTTCTCAACGGGCAAGGCGCGCAGCGTTGCTGCCATATCTCGGCCCACGAGTTTGAGCTTATCGATCCTGATATCCATCTCCTCACGGTCGAGCGGGGAAGGTTGAGGGCGGTGGAAGAGGCCGTGCTTCGAAATGGATTATGCGTTCGAGCTTCCGATGGTGATTCGCTTCTCCTTGGCTGCCAGTCGGTCAACGGTTTCCTCGCACACTGAGCGAGTGCACTGCAGATGTGTGCTTCATGATCCCGTGTGTCGTGGGAGGAGGGTCCTTCTTCGGATACGTGCATCAGGGTGCCGTCGGACGATTTGGTGAACAAAATCCGTCAAACGTGGCTTGACTACCGTCATACCGCCAGTGAAGCGCATGCCAGCATACTCGACTGCATGGTGCTCGCCTGAGACAGGATGTTCCAAATCGGTCCTGTGGCATCGGCGACGAGAGTCGCCAGGGCGCAGGACAACACAAACATGACAACGGGGCTCGACTGGGCTCTCGGACCGCATGTCGGGCACACGGCCAGTCCATACACACGTCATGCCCCGAAACGTCGACAGACCCCCACTCAACCTTCTCCCCTGGGGGCTTGCACTACGTGGGGTTCGGCTCGTCGGAGGGGGGAGGGTACTACATGTCTTCAGGGTCGTCATAGGATGACCTGTCAGCCCTACCAGTGGCCCCCTGAAGGAGATCCAGGCTGACGCCCACGACATCTTCTCGTCCCTGCCCGGTGTCGGGGTGTTGCCTCTGTCAGACTCGATGACTAACACCAATTGGTTCGCCATAGCGCTGGCGCTTGCCATCCGCAGCACAGCCCCACATCATGTGCACGCGCTTTTGCCCAGCCACCTCCAAAACAACGCACGCGAGAGTCCTGTATTTTCCCGCGCGGCGAGAGACCTGCGTGTGGGCCCCCT